TGGGCTGATGTTACCGTCACTGCCTGCCACGGAGTAGGATTCTGCTGCAGATGTGGAGGGAAGTGCGGTTTGAGTTTGAAACACAGCAGCTAATGTTGGGGTACAGATTAGTGGTTAGAAAAAGGATCCATTTCCTGTGGTTCAACCAAAACTTAATCTTTCATGTCAGTGACTACTGCACCTTCCTAATTCTTTGACTGCAAAACCAGACGGTGAAACATTTGACACCACGGTTTGACAACTTTGATGGACTGAATTTGTTGAGTATCAGTGGGAATCAGGTCTGTTAAACTCACATAAACACTCCTGTGATACCTGTGCAAGGTAGAGGCCCTGGCGTCAGCCACCAGTGGCCAGCGGTGGTACTGCACTGTTATTAAGGTTAACTTGAAAAATGGAAGCCAGAACTCTGGTATGGGTATGATAAACCAGTATGAGATGTCACAAAGTGGGTGAACTGGGATTGGCTCATTCTTAACAAATTTGGAGATTTTGTGCAGATTTAAAAAAAATGTTCTTATTGTTGAATAAGGAGCAATAGGAGACACAAATAAGTACCATTTCTACATTATATGTCCTGATATATGACAACAGGTCAGTCAGAACTCTCTCCTTACTCTCCTTTCTAAACACACATCTGAACCTTGTTTCCTGCCTTGAGCCTGTACTCTGTAAAACCCGGTACCTGCCGCACTCTTATCTTCAAACACACTGTTCTAATCATCCCAAGAACAATATTTCACTCCGTTCTGCTGAACGTAGCACAGTAAAGTCTTCCTGGGGCCCCGCTTTGTCGTTTTGGACGTCTCCCAGCAGCCACTTTTCCCTGTCAGCACATTTATGTAAGCTGTAATCATAATAACAAGCTTTCAAGAAGCCCGTGAAAATCTGGGTCGGCCATTTGCCAAAAAAATGCCTGATACAGTCATTAAACGAGACCCCATATTGACAGTGCAACACAGAGTGATGTGTTTTTAATCTTTGTTCCATCTCAGTTCTTCCTCTGTTTAAAGCAGACGGGACATAAAAACACACACAGTCCATTCACTTCACTGAAGTTACTTTACGTTTTTACTGCTACTAAAGCTGTTAATGCTACGTCGACTTTAAGACAACAACGTAGTGAAATGGAAGTGAATTATTTGTCATTCTGACACAGCACACCACTGCTCACACTCTTGTGTGGCGCTTAGGGACTCGAACCTGAAACCTTCCTGACCCAGGTCCGCTTCCTTAAGCGCCAAGCCACCACTGCCCCTAAAACTAGAACTGTATTGATGGGATATTCTTGTGTTGACATCAGATCTGCTGCAACAATATACGGATTCGTCTGGGAATCGAACCTATGACCATGTTCTCTGAGGCAGACGTGCTAACCGCTTCACTATGGAACCTCCAACTCAGTCCAAACTCTGAAAACCAGAGATTTAAAATTCTTATTGTCACTGTTTTTCTAAACGGAACATAATGTTTTCTCTTCTCACTCAGACAGTTTTACATTCAGTCCTGAAGACACTCTCTCTCTGGAAGTGAATAAAAATGTTTTAGTCACGTTATATAATATTAAAAAGTGACACCGAAGGGACCAGCAACAGGAGCAGAGTCATTAGTAAACAAGAGTGACCACAACAAACTGGTTGTGTTGTTTGTGACTGCCGTCTTATCGGCTCCTCCCTGGAGACGCCTCCCTGTATTTCCTGTCACTTTCCGCGGAGAAAAGTAAAGAACCGTCTGTGAAAACATCCATAAATGTCTGCTGTCATCGCAGCGAGCCACCTGGTCTCCTTTTTTAATTTTGAATCCATCAACTTACGGTCCTATTGGTCAACAGATGTTTATCTAGTTATCTCTCTAACAAACACAACCTAGGTTAGATGTCCGTGTTTACTTCAACACCTTCCCACCGCCGCCTCCACTCCCTGGTCACATGGTTACTGTGACGCCGTTGGGCAGAGCGACTCTGTGTGTTTGGTCGTGTAACGCGTGTCAATGTCCCGCTGAGCAGCAGCTGGACCCTCGTCTTCAGACCAGGGGTGTTGAAAACGTGCGCAGGCATCGAGAATATCAAAACAAATTTAATTTATAATTAGAACCTCATTAGAAAAAAATTGAAAAAAATAACAATCAGGGGATTGTAGGACGAACACTGCTCCTAAATTAGAACTTTATTGATCCCCCACTTGGATATTCTTGTGTTAACAGCGGATCTGCTGCAACGGTATATGGTTTCCTCTGGGAATCAAACCCAGCACTATCTGCTCTCTGAGGCAGGGGTGCTAACCGCTACAAATAAAAATATTTATATTTAGAACCTCATTAGAAAAAAAATTGAAAAAAATAACAATCAGGGGATTGTAGGAAGAACACTGGTGCCAGCAACACAACTCAGTGGTCTCTACAGATAAACAAATAAATATCACCAGGCCTATATCGGTATCAGTTGATATCGGAATCGGAAATTAAGTGTTTCGTATCGACAAAAAAGTTAACATCGGACTTTCCCTGTCAGAGACATCAGCGGAGAGTGTTGTCTAACTTTCTTAGTGACATTTCAACTCAACTCATTTGCGCCGAACCTCTGACCTCCAGACGTGACCTGAACCACGTCTTGTTTTCAAGCCGTAAAAACAATGGCAACAAATGAACATTTCCACATCACGTGATCATATCCTGTAGGTTGACATGCTGACCCAGTTCCTACGATGCAGTTGGACGTGCTGTGCTCACGCCACCACTTCCTCTTTCCCACAGCGCGACATGACTGCAGTGCTGATGTTGGCCCTCACTCTCACACTTTTAATTGATTTTCCTTCTGGGCTCATGATCCAGAAACCGTCACAGTTTCATATTTAGAAGAGGTCTGGCTTTGAACTGAACGTTATGTGAACTGAATTGTAACTCATACTGTGTTAATTTTCTGGATGACCACTGAAAGCTTGTGACCAGTGATCTAGATCTGTGTTTCCCAAACTTTTTTTCTGGAGACCCATATTTTAAAAGTCACAAACCTTCGCGACCCAAGTCAATAGACATTATTCGTAAACTCCTGGGAAACACAACGCGAGACGACCCCAAAAAAAAACTCTTGCGACCAACCTGAGGGTTGCGACCCAGTCTTTGGGAAACATAAAGTCAGCGGGTATCAGCCGCCTTGACCTGTTGTTTTGAAACACTGACAGGTTTTTTTTTTAAATGAAAAAAAGGGATAAGACTGGATTCTATTGGAATGAAGTAAATGAGTAAAATTAACAAAAAGTAAATTTTTCCACTGTGGCCCGGTACCAAATGACCTATGGACAGGCTCCGGCCCCCGGACCAGAGGTTGAGAACCCCTGATCTAAAGGATGAAGTCCCACTGACGTATGCTCTTCATGAACTTTGTCAGACTTTTGTTCAACCCTCCTACAGCTGAAAACAGTTGTGGTGAAACTGAAGCAAGAAACGAGTGCCACAAAAACCAGAACCATTCGCAGGAAAACAGCGAGAGGCACCAAAGTCAGCGGAACGAGACCCGAGCCTGAAATTAAAACCATTACGACTATAAAGCAGTGACATATTTATGTGCCGTGCATCAGCATTAGCGCAGCTTTAACCACTGATGATGATGTAAGAGAGGCTGATTCCTAGCGTTATGTCAGACAGATATGTGGACTGAGAAAAAAAAAATCGACAGATTCTGATGAAACACCAATGATGTCATAACCACCAGAAACATATATATATATATATGTGTGTGTGTGTGTGTGTGTGTTAAACACTAAACCCAACTGTTCCCATTACAGTAAAGCATTAGGGATTCTCATCACCTATGGTTAATAATATAGAGATATTTATGCTATGGCCAACGGCAGAAACTGCTAAGGATGTCGTTAGGGATGTCCGATATTATCGGCCCGACATTAGCATATTATGTAATATCTGTAAGAATCATTATCGGTTTTTACTCCGATAATGAAAACCCAATAACGCAATGTCTGGGTTTCACCAAATGATGTGTGACGGAAAAATAGTTTTGGGGATAAAAACGGCTGTCGGCACTAGATGGCAGCATTGCAGCTCAATTATGTAATCTCATACTCATACAGTGGTTTGTACAGATAAATAAATAAATATTACCAGACCCATATGGGTTGATATCGGAATCAGAAATTAAGTGTTTGGACAATATCGGCATTGTATCCCACAGACGATGCTACATTTTTTTGGGGGGAGGGGTGGGGGTTATTTTGCAACGGTGGTTTTCAATGTTTTTAAGGCCAAAAACCCAACATTTATGACCAAATAGAACAGAGAACATATAGGGTCATGATTGTTGTAGCATTTTCACCACCTAAGACTTCAGCATCAGTCCTGTGTTTGAACTACGGTGTTTCCTGCACTTGTATTTGGTCTGTGTGTTAAAATTTTACCCACAAGTCATTGTGTGTTTAATTCTTCACACCTCAGCAGTGATGAAGTCACACTGGACTGTAAGTCATGACAGATTCTGAGCCGATTCTGAGTGACGTGTGTTTATTAAGACAGGATGTTGGAGGAGTTACTAAATCCAGATTCAGTGTCGGTGGTCGACTCTGTCTCCAATTATAGTCGTATGTCGGGCATTAAAAAAAAAAACCAAATGAAGGCTGACGGATGAAAAAAATAAGAGCTGAACATCTTTATCATTTACAACTAAAAAGAAAACACATGGACCGAGTCGGGCGTCTGATCACAAAGACCACGTGTGTCAGAAAGAGTGCGTTTAAAAACATGTGGGTGAAGCCCTGCAGAGGGACGAAGGTGAGAAGGATTCTGGGGTGGAGGCTGTTTTCATTTTCACATTTCACACGTCTATTTGTAGGGTCTGAGAGCAGACGAGCTGCTCTGTAATCACTTCACAGGAAACTGGAATAACAGGGGATTTAAGGGTCGGGGCAGTAATGGGACAGGCCTGTGTGTCTCTGTCTCTGTGGACGAGTGTGTGCCGGTTTGAACACGTATACAGTGATCCAGTGGACAGCTGCAAAGGACTTCAAATGTATTTACAAACAAAAAAAAAAAGGAAACAGAGAAATTACTGATCAGACATCATCATCTTATGATCGGAGGACTGCCGGTTTGATTCCCAGTCCCCTGGCAGCGCTGTGGTGCACTGAGCAAGTACATATAAAGTACTGCAACTGTACTGCAGATAAATACGTGTTCTTATATGATATCATATAATCTGTGCAAATTTTTAATCAATCACCGAAATATACAACAACATTTATACCAAAATAATAAACAAACACCTGACTTTTTTATACTATAATTGTAGGTGTTTATAAGAATCTAAAATTGCACTTAACTCATGGAATTGCATTAATAGCAACAATTTAACATTTTTGTTGTTGTTTTTTTAAAATAAAAATAATTCTTACTAACAGTAAGTATAGTTAAGTATAGTTAACAGTAACTATATTTACTAACAGAAATATATAATATAAGTGTAACGGGCGGGGGGTGGGGGGGTCGGCAGGTGTTACATTTGCCTGGTCAACAGGTAAAGACAACGTGTCACTACAGCAGTAACTACAGTCAAGAGAATCAATACAGAGATGCTCTGGAGCTACAGGACCACATGAGAACGGACTGAGACGCATCACTTGAAAAACATTCACCAAATCTACTGTCTAAATAAACGGAATAAACTGTTCACGACACAGTTGAGACCTATGACCTACGACCTACGACCTACGACCTACGGCATCCACGTACCTCTGCCTCCGACCATGCAGCAGCCACATTCGCTGAGCAGTTTTCTGAAAAGTTGCTGACACCCACACGCTCTCTGGTGGTGACCCCCTCTCATGATGAGCCGCTCCTGGTGCCGGAGCCAAGACTGTCAGCTACAAGCATAGTGCTGGGAGGAGTACGTTCATCAGAGCACACACACACACACACACACACACACCGGCCACACACACACACTACTCCAGTGGTAATCCACAGATGAGTGGAGCAGACAGCTTCACAGTCATCATCCAAATGTTGTAGCAAAACAAAACCCTGAGACAGAAGTGCTGCTGCTGCTGCTGCTGCTGCTGCTGCTGCTGTTCCATTGAAGGCAGCAGCAGAAAACCCCCACAGAGGCTGTCCTCTCCTCCACTCCAGAACAAAGATTATGACAGAGACCAAAAGTAAGTGAGGGAGGAACAGGGAGGCAGGGAAGGGGAGGAGCTGTGAGACGGGACCCAGCTGTAACAACTAGCGTGCGGCTGAGCTGCGATGGCAGCATCTGTCTGCCAGTCCTACCTCCTTTTGATATCACCCTCCTCCTCCTCCCCCCTCTGACATCACTCATCAGCTTTTCATCTGTCCTTTTATGACTTTTATAACTTGTTCCTCTGTAATGTCCCAGGGGGAGCTAGAGAGAACGCTGCCTATCACTGCATCACCACAGATTCTCCTACGTTTTCTGCCTAGCAACATCCACTGGTCAAACTTGTTAAAGAGTCAAAGTTTTGACCTGAAGGGAATACAACCTCCATACAGATAAGAAGAACGTGCTGCCAGGACTCGAACCACTGACCTTATTGCTGTAAAGTATGCATTCTATTCACCCTGCCAACATGTGTAATGATAGACATTTTACAGGTAGGTAACAAGTGATT